AGGACCCTAAAAAACCGTGCGTTCAAAACGTAGTTGGGATCTAGGCTTAATTAAATCTCGACCCAATTCAACCGGTCGAGGGAACACGCGTGGGGAACCGCGTGAGAGGCGGGGAAACCATTACAGGATTGCGCGGTTTCCCTTTCATGTAGGTCTGCCATATTAGACCTCGGCTCTTCTCGATGTGAATGCTCCCTTAGAACTGCAGCTGTCATGTAATCACTTGTAAGCAAAGAAAGCTTAGGATCGAAGGTGCGACAACTCCTTTTTTTAAAATAAGAATGCTTGTATAATATGAAGAACGTGAATCCTTATGATTCCATTTCGACCAAAAAATCGTAGTGAATATCTGGACAATATTCGTGCGATTTCAGCCGAATCCCACGAATATTCGTAACACTATCGCACCTGTAACGTAACTGAATCGTAGAGCGTGTCGATTTAGACCAGAAAATTGGCAAAATCTCACGAATCCTCACGAATCCTGAAATTCCGGGCAATTCGTGGGATTCGTGGTCTAGCTGTGTGAAATAGGGGCCTTAGGGGCATTACACGTAATATTGAAACAATAAGGCAGATTGACTACTGGCAGTAAGTAAATAAATCACCTTATATAAACGGAGCACCCGCGTTCGACAAGACCAGATTACTTTTGTTTGGTCCAAACATTTGAAGGGAACATTGCGTTATTACACGTATATGTTCAGATCAGTCAAACTGGTGCTATAGAGAAAACTGTTCTGCCCCATATATATAGCGCATGTTAAAAGGGACAAGGTTATCTGAATACAAAATGGAATATTCCTTTTTTTTATTTGGTCAGTTTTACAAAACACAGACGTTATTATTTAACTTTTGCATATTTTAACTTCTACTGGCGTTAAAGATCGGAATAAGTTTATATGTTGCTAATAATTCATACCTGTATTATACACATTGTATGTACACAGTGTATTTGGGTTATCCTTATACACAAATAGAGCTTGAGATAATCTATCATATTCAAACAAATGTATGAGCTGCTAAATAAGGCATCTCCAAGAAGACTTATTTAAGGCACGATGAAAAGCCCTACGGACGCACAGAGGGGTTTTATGTTTTAAAGTTTCCTTTCGCGCGCGCGCGTGTGTGTGTGTGTGTGTGTGTGCGTCAGGGTGGGGGAGGGCGTAGGGCTAGGAAGTGAATCTCCCTCTCTGGCAATTGTCAATGTTGACAGGTACCAGTATGTTCATGTACATGTGCCCATTTTACCGTAGACATTTTCATTATCATAAATTAACCCTTTTCTAATTTGATTCCCCACATAAGACAACTACAGATCACTTATACTTATAAAGCCAATTCATAGGAAAACGCATGCAAAACCCACCTCCAAACACCATAAAAACCGTCCTACCATACGCCACCATACAAACTCCGTTCACCGCAAGTATATGCTAAGCCTTAAGATAATACGTAGAATACATATGTTAGACCAGATCATCTCTAGCAAACAAAGCTGTTTAAATAGAAAACTGCGTTGGTGAAATCAATAATGTTCACTAAGTTCTCGCTCTTATTTCAGAATGGCACTGAGCAAAGGAAGGTCACCATTAGGTTTGAAAGCTTATGAAGACGATGTACAAGGGAACGGTCACCGTCCGCTGAGTCCGACACAGCGTCACAGGTATGAGCACCAACGACTCTTAACCTTTGCCAATTGGCCTGATTGGGCACCTGCTTCTGCTCCGAGGCTGGCCAAGCACGGCTTTTTCTACACCGGCAGGGACGATGAGGTGGAATGTTTCTCTTGTCATCGAAAAGTTCGAGGTTGGAAATTGGGTGACAACCCCGAAAACAAGCACCGCCAAGTATCACCAAACTGTCACTACATAAATGGTGTTAATAAAGAGAATATTCCGATATATGTTGACGTTTCTTCTCCCGAAGAAAATGCAGGACTTCAAAGAACAATCTACGCTCCTCTTGGTCTTCGGTCTCCTGGGACTCGGGTGCCACAAGGTCCCCAACATGCGGAGGGCTCTTTGAGAGTCCCAAATGGAAATTCAATGACAGGTGAAGTCACCCATGGCACTGACAGTGATATAAGAAACAGTGCTGATGAAAGGACAGAATCACGGAACGAGGCCACCAGAAATCCGCGATCTGCTGTTAATCCAAACGCTCAAGTCGGCGTTGACACTACTGACAATCTTGCTGTCAGGAGGTCACCGCCAACTGAAACGCGCCAAAACAATCCCCATTACTCTTACACTACATCTCCGACCCTTACAAACGTCCATGAGAGTGAGGACTTTATGTTGATTATGAGGGAGAATGAGTTAACTCGTATGCAAACCTATGCTAATTTCCCAGACAGTTGTCCTGTCAGACCCAGTGAACTTGCAAAGGCGGGGTTCTTTTATTTAGGGACTTCAGATATTGTAAAATGTGCTTACTGCGGCGGTATGATCCGATCATGGGACAGGGGCGATGACGCATTTGGAGAACATGTGAAACATTTTCCGTTGTGTTCGTTTGTACAACAGAGACAAAACCGAGAGCAGAGTTCAAGCCAGCAGAACAATTTATTGTTTGACGATAACCCAATAGTGACTGAACGACCAAAACATCCCCAGTATGCAATTGAACAGAACAGGATTTTGACTTTTGAAAACTGGCCCATCAGTAAGCGGCAAACGCCAAGAGAACTGTCCATAGCGGGGTTCTATTACGCCGGCTTTGGGGACAATGTGAAATGCTTTTTCTGTGGCGGGGGACTGAGAAACTGGGAACCACAGGATGACATATGGACTGAGCATGCGCGTTGGTTCCCAAATTGTGGGTATGTGAAACAGTGTAAAGGAGTGTCTTTCATCAGAGAAATACTGCAACGCAATTCCGCCAACGGCCAATTTTCCGGCCAAGCAGGTCGGGCCCCACATACCCATCAAATAGAGGCAAGAGAAATAAAAGCTCGATTAGATGCACCATCTGCACAGAAAGTTATAGCAATGGGTTATTCCCGAGATTTAGTAAGAAAGGCTATAGAAAATAGACTTACAACTGTTGGTGACGATTTCCCTAATCTACAGTCTTTAATAGAAGCTCTTCTTAGAATTGAAGAGGAACAAGAACAAGGGGATAGTAATGGGAATACCAATTTGACAAATGATCCCCAAAATGTAGGCAGGGATCAATCAGACCAATCACCTCCAAATGACACAGCACCCTCCGCCAATACAAATAATCCCCCTGAACCCATTGACCCCGCTATCTTATCGGACAAACTAAGACAAGAAAATGAACTTTTAAAAGAACAGAGAATATGTAAAATATGTAAGGTGAGGGACGCTGAGGTTGTTTTCTTGCCGTGTGCTCATCTTGTGTCTTGCAATCCATGCTCTCCCTCTCTCAGAAAATGCCCGGTTTGTGGATCCAAGATCAGGGACACAGTGAAAACCTATCTGTGCTAGCTTGGGGAATCTATTTTCTAAAAATCTAAAAATCTATTGGCGGTATCTTGTTATCACGGTCTGTGCCTTGAATACCTCGCAGCGTAATTACTGGCAGCGCGAGCGAGTTACTTCCAAACACCAAGAAGATAAAGACAACAACTTCGTCACACATGAACGAAACACAAAATAAGAGCAGACGGCGGAAAAACTGCCGACAGTTCTATTTTGTGTCGGGAGTACCACCACAGAGCTGCGATGTAGATTCCCAATGCACCAACGATTACTCAACGATTCTGTGTGCATTTCTGCTGTTTTTCTTTGCACGAAATCGCTAAATGTCCTCATGGATATGATTAAGATCATAGGATCAAATTCGACATTTTTGACAAAGCTTGTCATTTCTTTCATACAAGTTCGAAATCTGGCCAGTGTGCATGACAATGTAAGAAATGATATACCTATTTATAATGATGCATAACAACAAGCTGTGTATGTGTGTATGGAATTAAATTTCCCGTTGATAAATATCTTCCCATTTTTATTAATCGTTGTTCAACCAGTAAACCCTGTAAATCATTGCGGCAGCTAAGATGAATACCATATGATTAGATTAAATTATTATCAAGAGTGTGTGATGGACTTTTTATCTCTGATACATGTAACATTGAATTTTGCGGAATCAGATGATTGATAGTGCTCATTGTCATTTTTATAACAGACGGGCGTACCGTTCGAAGTTAATGTACAGGTAGAGACAAAGAGAGAAATCTCTGAAGTCACATTGTGCAAACACATGTTCAATTGTTTATGATATCTGTACACTCAAATTTATGTCCTGGTTACGTATGAATAAATTTTTAAGTGTGTTGCATTCACGTTAAATATTAATCATTTTATTACATTTTGATATCATGTTTCCTCATGTGATATCAACACCTGTGTGACACAGTTCTTGGACAAATTTACAGATCAAAAACGTGTTTTCATGATACGACACAACAGCTGAATTTAAACGGCACTCTCAATCAATCCAGTTTCGTGCCTTCTGGATTAAAATAAGGAAGGGGAATGTAAAATGAGAGATGCCAATAGTGGGACAGATAACTTGATGGTGTGAAAGTCCCTTTCTTTCCGTCTCATATTTTTAATATGTGGACGTTTGGGTCGTGTCCGAGCATTCAATTTTAAGGTCACCACTTCTTCTACATTCAAACATCGTCGATGGTGCACGAAAACCAATTGGTCATCCTTTTTGGAACCTTAATCGGGGTTTTCATTTAAAAAGATAACCGACTTAAAAACTAAGTCGATTTGTGAGAAATGCAATGGAATTTGCGAATGATATGCACAAATATATTTAAATCAAAGGTATATTTTTAAAAACAACTGTGGTAGAAAAAAATACCCATTATAGTAAAATGTAAATGTATGAGAGATTCACAGATGGCCCCTTGAGTAAAAAAAATAGACCAGTTGGACATTCGTACCCGTTTTGTCTAAACAACGCAGATGTCCTGTCGAATCACGTTTTTTTTCATCTAATCACTTACAGAAATAACGATATCAGCTCTTTTCACTCTTCTTATAAAAGTTAATATTCACAAAATGTGACTCCATGCATCCATATACGGTGCGCCTCGTGAGTCGAGACCTTCTCCGCTGAAAGAAGTTCTGTTTGGTGTAATATATTCTAAAGCCGAGCTCGTACAGTCTGTTAATGATAGAAACCCTCTTCCTGTTGCTCGGCACGTCGTGGAACTCGATTCCAAGCTGTTTGACTTGCACCAGTACGCCCTCGAGGTACATTGCCTCTAAACTTGACCATTCGCTCTTTTCAATGTCGATTTTCAGGAAGTCGATTATTCGCTGAAAGAAAGAAAACATATTTCTTTTAGGGACTGCTGCAGACTTACTTGTGGAGTTCACTTTAGGACAGAGGTACTTGGTGGCTGTCGAGCCACCAGGGTCAACCAGGGTCTAAGGCCATATTCACGACGGAGTTGATCAACGGACTAACATACCTGCAGATCAAATACGGCCGACCTACTTGAAAGCTTGCCGCATAATCACGTAATGGACACTGAATAGATTTCTCGAGGGGATTATGCGACAAGCTTCCAAGTGGATCATCCTTGTTGTGAATGCGGGCTATGAACCATTTATCAGTAACTGAACGTTTTACTTGCCCGGGTCCAGTTTGACTGACATTCGCTACGGGCCCTGTGTTAACGTTGCAGACTGCTAGAACATGGCAGGAAGAACATGTCACCAATACAATGTGTTAAGTACTGAGTGAACACTAGACCAGTAACACAATGGGGCAGTAGCAAAGCCTTCAAAGATATGTCCAGTTTAAAAATATTGCCCTTTATCACAATGTAGAATGGAAACGAAGGTAATCCAACATTATAGACGGTCTCAAAGTGGATGCAATACATTGTACCAGTAGGCAGGAATATATGCAGTTTTAAAACACTTTATTTGGCACTTTGGCTTATGTTTTACTTACATCTTTATGTCCCAGAAGTCGCACAATGGATCCAAGCGTGTACATTTTCCATTTCTTAGCATTGGTCCAGTTCTTTCCGCCTAATCCTAGATTATGGAAATGGATGTTTGCGGAGCGATTGAAGTCATCTTGCCCTATGCTGGAAGTAAATGTGATACATGGAGAACGACTATTAAATTACTGTGTAAAAGGCAAAAAAAGTTTTATGGCCCGTGTTTTTATCGTGTGGACAACATCCAGCATTCCAAATTTTGAAAACAAAATTATGCACTTTTAATTACACTCATTACTGTATGATGTGCAACTTCACGTTAGTGACTGAAAAACCTTCACCATCAGGGTGAATATGTCACCGTATAGATACGAAAATCCGATCCTTTGACTCCTGTCAGCATCAAAGACATGCTTACCTTGGATCGAATGCATGAACTTCGCACTTCTTTTCTTGGTCCATGTAATCGTCAAACGACCATTTGTAGCTGATCCTGGATAAAAAGATATACATTTTCAATCTTTTTAAACTGACATGTGAGAGGAGGGGCATAGGAAGGCAACGAGGGCGTGGCAAATGCGCCAATTCTAAATCAATATCTACAGACATGAATTGCAATTGAACATATATTAATAAAACCAGCGAATTTCTTGCTTCGAGTGTTATATCTACGTCTTTGTTTTTATTAATATGTTTTATTAATTACTCTGACCTACTGAAGCAATCACTCATCCTCCTTGGTGAGCAATCAAATGAAAACTTGGCAAAATAAATATGAAAAAAATATAAAAGTCGCAGGCAAGATACCTTCTAACCAACGTCTGAAAATTCTACATGTTTATCTTCATGTACCAGTGTTCTTATTCAGGGGAATAATGAACCACTTTTCATTTAAGTGGTCTACTGTGTATTTAACTTGAACTGAGAGAGATCAAACTTTGGGGTTATAGTCCCTTTATAAAACCAGACCGGAAGCCGTAATTCTGACTGAAGGAATATGCCAAATACTGTATGCGTGACGAAAACATAGCCGATCTTACCCAAAGGAGTAGACTAAACATTTCCCCGGTTTCAAATTGTATGGCGGGTCAAGGCACACCTCCCAGCCGCCGTCTCCTGTTTCCTCGGTTCCTGCTCTAATCCGGTGTCGGCAGTCAAATTGAATCTTCATTAGGTACCTGGAGTTAGGAATATTTGCTTTTATTCTGCGAGAGCAAAGCAGTTTTCAAGTTGCAAAATAAGCGTGCTTTTTAATTCTGTTGATTATTATTCGATCACTATCAGCAGACGGAGCGAATTTTAAAGCAGCACTTTAATCTATAATTTTATCTGAACTACATACGCGAAGAAATATTCAAGATATAACTCACTGAAAAGATGTTTGTTTTCAGTATCAATAAATGATAAATTTTGATATTCACTTAAACAGTAATATATATATATATATATATATATATATATATATATATATATATATATATATCATGCATATAGTACCACATACAATTAATAATGCAACTCTGAACCACAGAAGAATTATGGTATATATTCTTGTGAAATGTATTGCCCTTATGTATTTAATGAACTCTTAGAATTTAACCCCATGGTATTGTATTTTAATAGCATTATACGCATTATAACAATCCATTCATTTATTGAAAACGTATAGTGTATAAACTGCCATTCGTCTTTGTAGTTTTAACACTCATGTGTTATCCGTTTGGCGTAAAAATGTAGGGGCGTCTCCAATATTGACTTTTCAACGGTATACCTCAAAATGAATGCATATTCTAATAAATTGCCTAAAGTCCAAGGATGCACTTCAAACGTGTTCGTTTACAATACCTGAAATAATCCCTCTCAATTTCATCGTATGCAAGCTGCGGCAGGGTGAGATTCAGCGTCACTTCCGGTGAGTAGTCGATGTCGTCTGCTAGATTGTAAAACGTTTTTGGAGGAGAAGATCTCGATGGAGAAATGTGCCTTGAGGTCGGTTCAGTTGCCTTGATGATGAATGAAAAGAAAACAGTAAGTTGTACGTGCTAACATTTCACTTTAATTTTATCCTATACAATATGTAACTTATCCAGTTTTGGTACTACATTTGGAGAAAGGTCAAAATGGTTAGGGTTAGTCGGAGTATTGTCTTAGTATGAGTATTAGTAAATGAGACGAATGTACAAAGTCATGGGGAATGCACTACGGTTTCTAGTGGAATACGATTCCTGTCACACCGGCATCCATTAACAGCCTAAATCCCTTCAGCTACGAGAGACATTCAAATACTATATAGATTTTTATGTTAGAAGTAAAACGCCCACTTACCAGTTTCAAGGGGGACTCGGCCTTGCCACTGCTGACTTTGAGCAGCACACGTTTGCGTTCACTTGCCGCTTAATAGAGGCAAAGACATTTGGTAAGAAGTTATTTTATTTTGTGCATTAATATAACACAGAGGAAAGATTTGGCGTATTTAATACTGTCAAAGCTGCGTGCTGTGCCAGTTTGTCATTACATGCACAGAAACATTAAAATTTACATTACTAAAGAAATTCAATGTAAAATAAACCATAAGTAAACCTTAAGTATTTATTCACATCGCACAGATCCTACGACTTTAAACTTCGAATTCCTATAATTGAACGATGGATGAAAAGGGATTTCTGTTCGCTGTTTTTTTTTTCTTGATTGTATGGAGCAGTATAACCTACTATGGTATAAATAAAAAAGGAGGGGGCTAATAGGAAAAATGGAAACGTCACCTTCACGGATCCAAAAAGCGGCAAGCCATATTACAGACACGGCACTCAGAACGGCAAGAAATTTGAATGTTCTTCTTCGGATCATATTGGCCGAAGCTAAGGAAAGAAAATACGCAATAATTACGCAGTATTTGTAGGATATATACGCACGCCAACTGCTGTAGAACAGGGAGACTCATGTTACTGTTTCTTATAGCCTTAGTCATGTCTCACAAAAGAAACTAGAGCTTTAATATCGGTCTAAATTTTAGATTAAAAGTTTTTGTCTACCGTGAGCCAAAATAAATTACTAGTAGTTCTATTGAATGAATTATAGCATTGCGCCTGATGTTATGACAAGAAATCCTGGCGAATGCCTCACTTTAAAACTCACTCAATTTAGATGGACTAAGTATGAATCTAGCTTGAATTGAAGTATCTAGATCACGTTTTCCGTCTAAAAGTTTGCGGCCATTTCAGCGTAAAGTTCTTTTGTGAATCAATCTCAAGGACCTTTCGATTTTATCCTGTTTTAGCAGATAAAACTAAGCCCCAAACCACTTTATCCTCTTTTTTGTGAGGCAATCCCCTGCCTGTTTTGATAAAACGTGATTTGATTTACTGATTGACTTGACTTTTTTATTAAAATTAAAATTGCTTACTATAGGCTATTCGAAAATCCGACATTGTACATGTACTCCACTTGGGGAAACCACGAATGGCACGCTGAGGCATTTTGTACCACATGCACATAATACAAGTATGAATTTTGTATTAACCAAAGACAGCCTTCGGGAACACGAAAGCAATATATCTTCTTCGTCAGTATTTTAGAACGTCATTTCGCTGAGTGCCCTGGCTACATATTTTAGGGAAAAAACGTGGATAGGTAATGGTGGAAATGAAATCAAATCTCATTCTGGATATTTCATTTTGAAACGGGGGTCACAATGCTTCAACCTTATCACTTTTTCATTCCCATCATCGTAGTTTAAAACAATTGGATGGATCACAACATTCACTTCTTTGATGACAAAAAAATTAACTTAGTTTGCGTAATGTTCTTGTATATGTTTCACGTCCCTTACAAAAAAGTCCTATAGGATCCTATTAAATCCTATAGGATTCTATAGGACTTTTTCGTTACGGGTAAATCCATACCAACAGGACCACGGGTAGAAGATAGGGTACATAGCCAATGCCATTTTCACGATTCTTAAACCTCTCCCTTAAATTATCACCCCATTATGCTGGTCATTTTACAAAAAGATTACATATACATACATACGATTGACTCAACTAGATCAAAGTTTGTGTCGCTCATATATATATATATACTGAGCAAAAATATAAACGCCCCATCTGAATTATTCAAATAACATGGGGTGGGCTTCGGGCAGTTATCTGTAGCTTCGGTCAGTCTGGACAATGATCTTTAGCACAATGAACAGCAGAATTCACTTTGAATGATTTAATATCAATATAGCCCATAATGCCGATAGATTTTTAAAAGTATTACATGGGGCATATTTGTCCATTCTATTTAATAGCTGGTTCTCAGACGCTCTTGAATTTAAAATATGTTAATAATTAGTCTAATAAACATAGAAAATTCTATATAAATTGAAAAACATTACCTTATTGCCATAAGATCTGGAACAGTGTCTAAGCCTACATTCCCTGTATACGGTGTTTTCATATGTAGCTGCAGGTTTCATGAAAAATTGATGGCATGGCAGCAGGTATTGAATGCCGGGTATGGCTTTGTGTGCACTCGTCTCTAGTGCCATATGTTTATTAAATTAATGATAGCAATGCGGGACGGTAAAAGCTGAAAACCGAGCCAATATAAAGATCCAACCCTTACTGTACATTTAGCAAGTGTAATTTATGGTAGTATTTGGGATATGTAAAGGGACCGTAGTATAGGGGGTGTTAAACACAAGCTTACAGTCACATGAACACAGGTGCAAGGAAACTGCAATGAGGGTCCTTGCAACAGAAAATCCGTCCTTCATTTAGTTGTAATGGTTAGGGTTAGCCTGACCTAAGTGGGTCAAATTCTAGGTCGAGGCTTACCGGTACAAATGAATGGGAGGCTGACTCTCTATCATGGGGGGACTCTCTGTCACAGTACGTCGGCATGCAGGGCGGTTTACCAGTACAAAGATTTTAATTCCCAACCTGGTTGAGCCATCTTTGTTAAGAAGCATATGTTTTAATTGTCAGTCTTTGCTTCAAGTTGTATCACTTTGAGACATGAGGAATTAGCTGGCAATGCATACATCAACATTTCATGGGTAAAAGTGAGACGCAGAATGCCCAGATGCGTAGTTAATCGGTTCTCTTATCATTTGAAGTGCACATAGACTGTGAGAGGAAGGGACAAAATGTCAGGGTTATCCATGAACTCTTGGGGGTTTTACCCCCTTGTTTGCTTTATCACCAAGTTACACTATATGAAATTATATATAGTGATTTTTGATTGGGTAATGTGGCAAAAATGCATTTTTAGGGAAAGGATTGGAGGATTAAACTCAAAAGGGACCAAATCCACATCTGAAGAACGCGTTGTTGGTTACATTTTAGCATAATATTTGAGGTTTAGTTCAGGTCGGTTATGTAGCTCTTCCAAATGGTATTATGTGTGATTTACCTTAGTCTACATCATACTTACTTTTTATTTAACATACTTGACACAATCCGTTGATAAGAATCATTTTTGATTTCAACAATTTATTTTACCGCGTTAAGTGGGGGCAAGGCCAAAAAATACATGAACCGACCAGCTACCCGAAAGGCACAGAGACCCAATGTTCGCACTACGGCGCAGCCCAGCAAACACAACACGTAATTATAACGTTAATATAACGTTATGGTAACGTCAAAATAACGTTCTGTGTTTGATGGGCAGCACGGACTGCTTCCAAATCAACAGTAGCCTGCCGAAGCACGCTCATGGGTGGTTTACAGCGTGTTCAGTTCGCGAAAATAAACCCAGACTTGTAATTTAATTTTAACGAAGTCGCTTGCTTGTGCACATATCGCACATTTGCATGAACCGCGCAATAGCGCAGCATTGGATCCATCTAAGATAATAAATTGGGATATAAGCCTTCGGAATTAATAGCCGGGAAGATCGCATTGGGAGAACGAGTCCATTTGGGAGAGCAAAGAAGACGCGAGTTATGGGTGAGGGTTCCAAAGTTGGAGACTTCACGTAGATTATGTAGTTCGAGCGTCAAAAAATAAGCCGTTAAGCGGTTTTGAACAATTGTTTTCTGTTTGAATTGATCAGTCATTTATCAAATCAAACAATATTGGAAGTGTGCTTCAGGCCATGGATAATGGATAAGTATGAAGCAGCCTTTGATTATTACAATAAATGTCTTGCAGTGCGAGAGGAGATTCTCGGCCCCAACCACCTTGA